CGCTTTACTGCTATCCTCTATAATATGTATCGAAATGTATTATATTAAAAAATTATATTTATAGAAATATATCAAGAAACATCTTACCGTTGAGTTATTGATTTCTCTTCTGGAAGGCATGCCAGGCTTATTTGGCACCTGTTGTCCTAAATATTTTAGAGATAGGCCTGTTGCATTAAAGCGACTATTTCTAAATAAATATATTTTTATTTTTGAGTGAAACCGAAAGCAGAGAAGACATGTGTGCCCAATTCCTCCTGCCAATCGATCAGACTGCGGATGGATCGATATGTCACCAGGGCTTTTGATCACCACAGCCCTCTATTACTGGGCGCTTTCAAATGCAAATGCGCCTAAATACAAATCTGTGGCAACACACTAATTCCTTAACAAACTGCAGGACAACGCTTTACAAACACAGCGATTTAAAGTGCAAGTGATTCTTTTTTCTTTTTCAACATTTGGGCCTTTTTAAATTTCACCTCTGACTGTGAAACACGCAGTTTAAACAGTAGGCTCCCGTTTAAAGATTTAACAGGACAAACAAGGTAACATTCAAAACGCAGGGTGACATTGATTTGGCCTGTAGCCATTGTACGTTCGTGGGAAATGTTGGAGGAAAAGCAATAAGTTAAAGAACTAGTGAAAAAATAATAACATTAAACGATTCAGTATTACAATAAAAAAGATAATCAGTTTAGCATTATTTAAAGCCAAATGCACCCCGCTGAGCACACGTTTTAGTTTTTAATGTGGGGAAATATCTCTAATTTATATGAGAAATATGAACATAGTTAAACACTTGATGGGGCGTCTAAGATGTCAATGATATTAATGTAAATCCCTCTTGTTCACACACACACACACACACACACACACACACACACACACACACACACACACACACACACACACACACACACACACCACACACACACACACACACCACACACACACACCCACACACACACACACACACACACACACACACACAACACACACAACCACCACACACACACACACACACAAAGAGCCATATGCAAACACGGCAGATGTTAGGTAGCCTACATTCTCCAACAAGGCCACAGTGTGTGTGTGTGTGTGTGTGTGTGTGTGTGTGTGTGTGTGTGTGTGTGTGTGTGTGTGTGGTGTGTGTGTGTGTGTGTGTGGCTGACTTGCTCGGAGGCCTGATCAATGCGACATTACTAAACACTGCTGCTTAACTTTTGCCAATAGCCAGATTCAAGTAAATATACTTTAGAATACATTAAGTGTGATGCATCAGCCGCGGAGTCATTCAAGAAGTCATGAAAAGATTAGTCTGTCTCTATCGAGTGAATCCTGGGAAATACACACGCGTACGGGAAGAGTTGACCCACTAGAAATAGTTTGTATTAACACACTATGTTTAATATAGGCTAAATACAATTAATTACAAGTAGTTTTAAGGGGGAATTTTGTACTTTTGGGGGCCTGCTGCGTAAAATATGATCCTGTCTTTTGTTATGACTTTTTATAATCAATATTTTCAGTTATAATTACACCACCAATAATATTAATAATTTACACGGCAGTTAGTATTTACAATAGGCAAATATAGATTGAATATAATGTGTTTTTTACACTGACGGTCTGCAGCACTCAGCCAAATGAAAAGCTCAGCGTTAACTTTTCAGCTGAGTGCTATGTGGTCATTTCCTGTAATGAAACTGCCTGTTGAGACAGGTCAAACACATGACAGGACACACCTGACTTAAAGCATTTTAGCACAATGCATTTTGGGAAATATATCGATCCTTTAGCAATGCATTGAGCGGAGCTCCGGGTTCAGCATTGATTAGTTGATCAGCAAACGACAGCAGTGCTAAAAGATAAAAAACAAAATGCTTTGGCCCTCATAAAACACAGTCATGGTGAACCAGTGACTTCAAACATTTTGTATTGAATTGAAGCCCTTATTATAACTTTTTGGAACACGGTTTTATATATGAAAGATACATTAAAACACAAAAAAGACCTCTGCACAATCACTGCATTGTGTGTGTTTTGTGTATGTGTGGGTGTGGGTGTGTGTGTGTGCGTGTGTATGGGGTATGTAAAGTCGATGCCAACGTGAGGCCACCGCCTCGCCCGTTGTTATTAATATGAAATAAATCACCGGGTCTCTGCGGCATCGCCCCAGTCACACCTCAGATATCGACACAGTTAATATTTCATATTGTATTCGCCATAGGATATGCTTATTTAAGTATTCGAAAACAGTACATTAAAATACAAATTAAAACTGGGCTCTAGGCGGACACATGGATTTTTTATGGGGAAAATAGATGTGTTTACTTTGCATTCAGATTTTTATTTTGGCTGGCTGAATGAACGATTTGACCATGCTGCATAAAATAGAAGAAAACAACATTGATTGGAAATTGGGGAAAGTACACTGATCAGTTCCCCACGCCCTGGTCGCCCTGTTGTTTTTATCTGTGGAGTTACATGACCTCGCGTTGTACACAGGAGCCCGTCGAGAATAAAAAAATCAAATGAGGGGAGAGAACATGAAGGCGATGGCTATGAAGTCTACAAGTTCTTGGTGAAAGTATAAAACTTTTCAGCGCGTTTGTTTCTGGTTGTAAACCCCGGTGAATTAGGAGCAAGGAGCCAGCAATGAAAGTTAACATCCATCACCACCGCGACCAATAAGCTGCTCTGGCCGGCTGGCTGAGCACAGATGACGGATTCGCTGCTGTGCGGGCTTCGGTAATTCATTTTCGATAGCAGTGGTTGCTGGGATCAATACAGGGACATTAACCCAAGCGGACACTGCTGTTCTCCTGATGGCACAAGCCAAAAGCCACCATCCCCCGTTGGCAATCAGCAAAGAAACACTTTTTAGGGTCATTATTTTGGGGGCGAGGAGCAGTGTGCCAAGGCCGCGCTGATATCACAATTCATCAGTGTAGTTATGGATAGCTTTGACCTAACTGTTGGTAAACACTGGTCATGGAAATTATTTTACGCAATTTGCAAATGATAAGTGATGCCACTTCCTGAATGTTGGAGTTTTTTTCCCAGCTTCAGGTCGAAATCCTAATGACCTCATTTTACATGAAATTGGTGTGAATGCCAGGGCTGATCACTTGTGCTCATATAGTTTACAACTAAAGGGCTGCTGTGATGATCGGTTGCAACACACACACATTTGCAAAGTGACACTCCCCAGTGTGTCCAAACATGTCTCAAGGTGTTGATGTTGCGATTTCTCTCAGTAATCCCTCATGTGTTACTCTCCATGCATCTCACCCTATATCTGCACATGCTGGGCTATTATTAATAACCCAAAGCAAACACCATGCAATAAATCCTAGGTGTGTGATGCTTATAATGAGCAGATGTTGTCATTTCTGGAGCCATATAGGGACAAAACAACAGAAAGCAACTTACATTACAATTCAAATTAATGCAGTACCAAATCTTGCAACCTTATCACTTTTTAATTTAATATTGGAATATTGGCTGGACTGTGCAGGTGCCTATGACGTTGTATGCACCCCATCAGGAAGCAATACCTGGAACCAATAAAGCTATATTTACTTTTTGAAAGCATTTTCTCCTCAGTTTGCACCCAAAACCAGTGAATTCAACAGAATCCAATGCCTCGATCTCCACATGCTGCTAAGTATTGCATTCATATTGCGGGCTCCTGCAAAAGGAGCACCAACCTATCGATGCATCTCCTGATCCATACTTTGACATTGATGGATTGCTGACCTGGATTGACGTCAGCGAGCAAGTTTTATATAGAAGTTTTGAGATGCACGAAACATCATGTGAGAGTTTATGTGAGGGAATTTGATTTTTTGTAGGCCTGAACGCGAGGAGCAAAGATGCGGAAAGGGGTCAAAGCCTAGAGGCGATGATGAAATGAAACTCGACAGATTTATTCAGTAAGTATTAGCTGAAGAAGAGAAAAGTTATGAGTGAAAGTTAACGGTAAGACATCTGATCGTTCACTTTTTAGAGACAACATCTCTTTGCTAAGATGGTTATCATTTCAACGTCTCAAGGGTCATTCATGCACTCTGAAGCTGAGAATCTCATGTTTATAAAGAATACAATAAAATCTGCTATCATTAGGATATGATGCATCTTCAATTTGATGAATAAAATATAAAGGCTGTGAGCTGTGACCTCCCCTCAAAGATAACGTGTGGTTTTCTCATTACACTCGTGGCCCGATGTGACACATGTCAATTCATATTTAACCTCTAAGACATGTTGTTGGCGCCGTGTCAAACGCTTTATCAGAGAAAACAAGGACCAAGTCCTCCTTATCTGGTGTAAATGTTGCACACACTGCAGAGGATTGCACTTCTGTGTTTTATCTCAGGGACTAATGCAATCTTTTTCAGGAATTCGGGGTTCAGTGTGCAGCATGAACAACCCATGACCAGGTTTGGGGAGTAAGGGAGTACAGGGATTGCCATTTGTTCTGTTTTTAAATTCAGTAGCTCAACCTATATGGTGATGAAATTGTTTGTGGGCTTAAGTTTTAGCTTCAATTAATATTTGGGCTTATTTAAACTATAATATGTGCGTATGTTTCATTGTTGGTGTAGGTTACTGCCAGAATATGCGGAAGGCAAGTTTTCCTATGAATAAAATCATTTTTGATACTAAATATCTTGATATCTTCTTTTCTAAGGTACATTGTTCTGTTCTATCATAAATAAAACCCCTTATTGATATTTATTTCCTTGTTATTTACATTACATTTGATATAGAGATAATCCAATAGTAATCAAATAACATTACTTTTATATTTTTGATACTCTGATTAGGTTACAGGTAGCTAGTATTTGTAACGGATTACATTTCTAAAGTAACCTTCTCAACCCTGCCCATGACATGTATAGGGGCCAGTGACGTCAGCTTGGCCCCAGACAGAGTGCGCGAGTGCGAGAATACGCCACGGGGACGCGCACATGCTCGGTCTCATTTTAACATGAGCGCAGGCACGTCAATATACACACAGAGAGCAGAGCAGCGCTTTGGGTTTAGTAGAAGGTGCTCCACAGCGAGAGAAATCCTCCTCCACACTGAGCAGAGGTCTGAGGCGCAGTTTGTGTGGCGGCAGGGACCCGATCTTTTAAAACCATGCTGGATTGACTGCAGAGAGGCAACTACAATCAATGGCTTGGCTTTGAAATCGTTCAACATTTATTGGAAAGGAGTGTGAGATTAGAGCGACAGTGAGAGAGAGGGAGAGAAGCGAGGGAGAGTGAGTGGCGAGAGGGGTGGAAATAAAGATCCTTTTTCAACGATGGAGCTTACAATGGAAAACATTGGAAATCTGCACGGTGTGTCTCACTCCCATCAGACGAGCGACTTAATGAACTCTCAACACGCGCGCCAGTCGTCGCATCGGAACTTGGTGTCGCACGGACGGTCAGCCATGGTGTCCAGTATGGCCTCGATACTGGAGGGCGCGGGGGACTACCGCACAGACCACGCTTTGTCTGGCCCCTGCACCCGGCCATGACCATGTCGTGCGACTCCGGGATGAGCCTGAGCAGCACCTACACCACGCTGACGCCGCTGCAGCACCTGCCGCCCATCTCCACGGTCTCCGATAAATTTCACCATCAACACCCACATGCTCACCATCATCCGGCACACCAGCGACTCTCCGCCGGGAACGTCAGCGGCAGCTTTACCCTGATGAGGGACGACCGCAGCCTCGCCTCCATGGGCAACATCTACGGCCACTACCCTAAAGACATGTCCGGCATGGGGCAGTCTCTGTCCCCACTGTCCAACGGGCTCGGGTCCTTGCACAGCTCCCAGCAGACTCTCAGCGCCTACGGTCCCGGAGCTCACCTGTCCAACGACAAGATGATCTCCTCGGGGGGTTTGAGTCCCACATGCTGTCGCGGGGCGAGGAGCACCTTGCCCGGGGTCTCGGGGGCCATGGGGCCGGACTCATGACATCCTTGAACGGCATGCACCATCATAGCCATCCGCACTCTCAGGCAAACGGGTCCATGCTGTCAGACCGGGACAGGCAGACGGTGGGGGGAGGAGGGCAGGGAGGTGGGTCAGGGCAGGTGGAGGAGATAAACACCAAGGAGGTAGCACAGCGAATAACGGCAGAGCTCAAGCGCTACAGCATCCCCCAGGCCATCTTTGCTCAGAGGATCTTGTGCCGGTCCCAGGGAACTCTGTCTGACCTGCTGCGGAATCCTAAACCGTGGAGTAAACTCAAGTCTGGCCGGGAGACGTTCAGGAGGATGTGGAAGTGGCTCCAGGAGCCCGAGTTTCAGAGGATGTCGGCGCTCAGGCTTGCAGGTGAGTGAGGAGACAGCTCCCAACCTGAGTGATGTGGAGGGATCAATTAGAAGTCAATGTGGCAAGACTGTCAATAGCTGCTCAAACAGACATTACTAGAAGTTATTAGTCGATTGTATCGAGTAAAACTTCATCACGACAGTTGGGGTGTTAAATGTTGGGGGAAATCTATATTTTGATTGATGCTACAATCCATGATAGTGTAAACAGACGCTGTGCAACACTGGATGTGGTATAAACAAAAGAGAGGATGCCTCTCTCAAAAGCAGACGAGGTGCAAACAGCATTGTGCACTGATGTTTGTTCACTCACATACAGCGGTTTTACGCACAGCATGGATACACATATCCCTCTCACTCGGCCTCCCTCTCTGTCACACACAAACACATAGAAAAAGACCAAACAAAGAAAATCAAATCAGGATGTGATCAAAATTGATTGCATCTTACAGCTATAGTACTTTGATGGCAAACCAAACATGGAGACAAGTTAACTCAAATACTCAGTTTAACTTTGGACCCATTTGTATCAAAACACACTTGATGTAATCTTTCACTCCCCCTGTCAAATAAGCACGTCGTCGCAAACAAGGATCGTCTAAGGCCTAGCCAAAGAGTCGGGGGAGCATGACCTCCCATGGATCAATATTTCAGGTCCAGGCGTCCCATTTCAGAGTAGCACACTGATAAATGATCGATTTTGGATCTGAAAGACAGAGACACAAACAGATGCGTCTTTCTCTGGCCCGTATCTCCTCTGCACTCTGGGGTATTTTTCTCCAAAGTTGGTTGATGGCCTGTTTATCAATTCTGACACTAAGAAACGGTGATTGTTGTGGTTTGGCAGATAACATGTGTGGGGTTATTGGGAAATTATAACAGAAAGGCATCCCTTCATCATGAGACAAATTGTGGCACGAATCCTTGCTGTCGCCTGTTTGTATGTATTCTAGTGCTTTTGCGTAAACGCTGTTATTCGAAACACACATTCCCGCCCCTTTAAACCATTTAACACATCACCTGAGGACGTAAAGGAAAAGCCGAGAAGACGCGCTGAGGTTAAAACCGAGATGTGAATGAGAGTTCCCCTCGCATTGATGTTTGTGTAAAGGTCTCGTTCAGACGTGCTGTGCTTCCAAACGTCAATCAGCTCTTCTGTGTCGTATTTCAGTGAATAGTTCAATTAAGCAGATATAGTGGCATATTTTAGTTCCAGTCAATGCCCTATTGAAAAGCACTTAATGGCATGTAAATTGTTCCTTTGCGCATTTAGTGGGGTTCTGGTAAATAAAGATTTAAACACTCCACAATTGTCTCTTTAAGTGCCACTGCTGTTAAAGCTAATTGGGCTGTGGGGTTTTATATCTTCCACACCCGGCATCAGGATACCCCCCCCCCCCCCCCAATTCAATTGACATGTTGGAGTGACACACTCCTGTGAGTGCTACACTTTCTGCATATTTTACCGTGGTCAGGCCCACAATAGCCTATGGGTGTGAGGCGCGTGTACGTGTGTGCGTATTTGGTTGTAAAATGGAAATTGTTATTCATTATTTTATTTTGAAAATATATTGCATTATAGTACGTATCCAATAAATACATGTTTATTTGTTGTCTTGCAACAGCTGATTTTAGTGCACTTTGTATGCATTATGTATTAACCTGCAGCCACAAAAAAGCCAGTTGGGCAAAATGACAAATGACTGGTATGTAAATGTGCACAGCAACATTTTACTTATTGCATTTAAAATCACCATTATCCTCGGTGCGCATGTGAGTGGGAGTTGGGGGGGTTTGTGATGCTGAAAGTGAGGCTGGGCCATACTCGCTCGGCCACATCAATCAATAAATTCAAATTACTATTCCAAATTCATCACAGTCACACAAATCAATGCAGCTGCCCTGCTTAGCTAATGTGAAAATGCCAGTGTCTGCGCACACACACATGACAATCCAGCCCTGAAACGAAAAGCAGAGCAGAGATGGGCCTTTAGCTGTTTGGGGGGGTGGGCGGGACGTTTGCCCTTCACGCTCAACATCTCTTAATGCAACGAGGGCAAAGACCCACAGGCATCACCTATTGTGTTCTTCATTGCACCCGGGCCAGCTTTAACCTTTGTGTGTCTTTCATTTAGCTGATTATCAAAACTAAAGTATTCTTCCACGACTGTACATAAACAGGCAACTTGATTGTAAAGCTGCACAAATAAGGAAGCACATGTTTGGGAGGCATTTAAAGATCGCATTAACGATGAAAACAATTCGTCTTTGCATCTGTGTTGAATTCCACACTCCATCTCAATGTATTTGGTCGGGTCAATACAGTCCTGATCGATAAGGATAGCCAGTGCATCTATCAATTATCCCGCCTCAGCACTCTCTCCCATTGGTCTCTCCCCTGGAGCAGAGGGGGGAGGCGGGAGCCGGAACAAGGGGGAAAGAGGACAGCTGTTATAACAAAAAAACGCTTTTGCACACCTTTTTTTTCCTTTGCTGTAATCATGTTCCGTTTGTTGTGTGTAATGCACTCTCTCATTTGCCCTGTGGGGTTTGGGTTATACGGTAATTCCTGCACTAGTCACGCCTATTAGACACAAACAGAAGAATGCTGAAAACACAGAAATAGTCGTTATATCTTTCAAAATCCGGAATATTCCCACAAAAGACCATCCCTACTTCTAATTTGATAGCAGTTATCTTTTTTGCCTTTATCCTTTCATGTGACAGTGATGAGGTGCATGCCAGGGTCCCCCCTGTCTAAAAAAAAAGCGCAGTTGCTTTATTACCATTTGAATGGCCGGAGCACGTGCCGGGGTGTGCAGGTCAAGACCCACGGCCCACGGAGGCAAAACAATGTTGAGAATGAGGGTGGGGGGCCTCTATTCATCTTTCAATGAACTACACGTTTACACGGGCCTAATCCTGGAGCAATCCACCACCACCCCCCCCCCCCCCCCTCCCCCCATCCCCGTGACTGCACAATTCCCCCATGCATGCATCTCTGCAATGCGTAGGCCTACTTTTATTTTCCTTGTTAAGTATTGAGTTGCCTTAATCAGAATCAGAAATAGGTTTATTGCCGAGTAGGTTAAGCCATACGAGGAATTTGCATTGGTGTCTATGGAATATGGTGTTTATAGAAGATATTGTAAGAAAAGGACCAACAAATAAAACAATTGTAAAAAAACATTTAAAAAAAAGACTATTATAAGATTAAAATATAGAGAAATATTTACATTAAATATAGACATACCAAAAACATGACATTCATTACATATTGTTCCCTTAATGTGTATGCTTTTAGCAGAAAGAGGGCATTTATTATTGCTTATATATGCAAAGAAAAAAAGATTGGTTATCCTATCCAAAGTAGGTTTTATTCTTATTCTAATTTATTATTGGGAAGCACACAGTCAATCCCATAGTTTAACGTTACAAGCCGCTGTCCAAAGTGCTGAAATAATCGTGCACATTGAACCGCAGCTTATCTTCTTCTCTCTGTTTCGAGGACAGTTCAAGGTGGTGAACTGGAGTTTTATACCAATACATAGTTAATAGCATTCTTGTTGGCCTTAAACACCATTATTTCATCCAACAGCTTCCACCCATCGATCAATATTACAATCCACAATGGCGTCAATCACACCCTGCATCCTGCATCCTACTTTCCAGTCCAGCATGACCAACTGGGTTTCCATTTAAATCACAGCTCTAGCGTCTTCTTGTTTTTGCAGAATTCTAACTGGAGCTCTTTTTATTTTGGGATGCTCACCAAAATATCCAAGAGCAGCAAAAATAGCCAGCAGTGAAGCTTCTCTTTTGGGGTAATTTAAGCCGGTAAAATGGGTTTAATTGGACAGGGCATTAAGATGTGATTGATGCGGGTTAATCTAAAACAGGATTTTTTTTCATGAAGAGATGGCTTGATGTTAGCCTGCGAAATGATCGATTGGTACTTTAATAATTGATGTGTGAGGGGAAGATAGGGGGGATAAACAGTGCAGCTGCGGTTTCAGAGCCTCGTTGTTCGTTAAGCACAGCAACGTGTGCTGTATGTACTGAGACACGCATGTACAAGCATCGCCTTTGAAATCCTGTGGTGGGAGAGCAACAGCCACTTTCTTGAGGTTATAGCTCCAGGCTATTTGGTTTAAATCCCCGGCTTCAGTGCAGCTCAGAGCAGATGAAATGACATCTCACGCCTTGCATCTGAGGAGGCTTGTATGTGCTGAAGGGGGGGAGTCAGTCAATCTAACTTTAACATTTGCATAAATCATCAAGTCGTGATACGATAAAAAAAAATTCAAGGGTTGCACAATTAGCTGTGTATTTATGGCAATGGAAATCTTAAGTCCTTCTAACAAGCAACATAAATATAAAGACATTAAACGATAAAAACTCATTTAGAAAACAATACAAATATGTGCAAAACAAAAAGTTAATGTTGCAGAGAATTTTGTACAAGTGAACAAGTAAATGCAAGAGACTAAGTAAAATAGAAGAAGATAAACAAGAACAGAATGTAAAATTAAATACTGTTTGTTGTAGTAATGAATATTCGCATGTGGACGCATCGTGGGGAAGTTATGGGGTGGGGGGAAAACACATATCCTGATTGATTGGGTTTGAGGCACAGCTTCCTATATTCTCACCACTGCATGCCTGCATAACACAGGACAATATCATAGCACGAGCTACAGCCTGCATATGTGTCGCCTCCCCGCTCCTCCCTCCTGTGTGTATGTGATCGGGATATAGAGTATGTCTGCGCCACATTGTTAAGGCCGATCTGGCGAGCCTGGATCTGTATCGATTTCCATTCCCGGCCTCTGCTTTCCATCTCTGGAGCTGCGCCATGCAACCCCCCTCCCATCTCCACCATGCAACACCATTTCTCCCATTAACAGCTCACCCTTCATAACACACAGCAGAATGACTAATAAATGCATGCTTTCACGCTGGATTGCAGCACACGACGATGCATGATCAAAAATACAAGCA